ATCTTGCATGTTTATGAGACAGACAAAAGACACCAGCAATCCTGCCATCATGTAAAACAATTACATACAGGCTTTCGTTGTACACTCACTTGGCAGGACGGTAGTACCTCCCTGGGTGGTTGCTGTTTACCAACCTACTACCTAGACCCAATAGGCTTATTCCCCCATATTTCTTAGTCTTTTGTCCCCTTCCTTGTACAAAAGGAACTATGTCTATGAATTCCTAGGTACTTTCCTCTAGGGAAGGCTCTGTAAATATATTTAATAAGACTTGGTGATTATTATTGAGTACAGTGGACCCCCGGTTAACGATATTTTTTCACTCCAGAAGTATGTTCAGGTGCCAGTACTGACCGAATTTGTTCCCATAAGAAATGTGAAGTAGATTAGTCCATTTCAGACCCCCAAACATACACGTACAAATGCACTTACATAAATACACTTACATAATTGGTCACATTCGGAGGTAATCGTTATACGGGGGTCCACTGTATTATTGTTATCATTACTAATATGGCGTCTCGAAACATAACACACTTACTGATTTTAATGTGTACCTGCACGCCAGCACAGTGTGTAAGTTTATTTAGGTACAGGTATACATAAGTATATACATAAGTACAGGTATATACGGCAGTCTCCCACCGAGGCAGGGTGACCCAAAAAAAGAAAGAAAATCCCCAAAAAGAAAATACTTTCATCATCATTCAACACTTTCACCACACTCACACATTATCACTGTTTTTGCAGAGGTGCTCAGAATACAACAGTTTAGAAGCATACACATATAAAGATACACAACATATCCCTCCAAACTGCCAATATCCCAAACCCCTCCTTTAACCCTTTCAGGGTCTGTCCCGTAGATCTACGGCTTTACGTTCAGGGTCCAAACCGTAGATCTACGCCATGAGCTCGGCTCACTCTGATAAACTGTGTGGTACATCTGGGCCTAGATATGAGAGAATACATCTATGTGGTATGTGTGCACCACATAAAACAAATCCTGCAGCATACTGTGTATAATGAGAGAGAAAAAACTGAGACAATGATTTTCGATTAAAACAGCAACTTTGCAGTGTTTTTTCATGTGTTTTTTATAGTTGTATTTGCGATTTCTTGGTCTCATTTGATAGAATGGAAGACATATTACAAAAATAGAGATGATTTTGATTGGTTTTAGCACAGGAAATGGCTTGAAACTGAGCTCAAAGTAGCGGAAATGTTAAATTTTTGCAGATGTTCGAGAGTAAACAAACGACCTCACACGTCTAATACACACCAGCTGGTGGGTCTAATATACATTCACAAATGTGGTGATGATATTTATACAATTATTACAATATTGCGTAACAGTAAATCTTCTATTTTTTGGTGTGAATAAAAATTCATTATGTGAATAAAAAATCAAAATGGAATTTATTTGTAAAGCCTCAAAACATAACTAATGAACAGAGGAAATGTTAGTTTAGTGCCAGGAATATCTACATTGTTTATTCTGGACCCTATTTTGAAATTGGAATATTTTGAACTTTGTGTTAAATTAGCCAAATTACCAATTTCCGATCACTTTATTTTGTAGTTGAAACAGTTGACCTGGCAATTTCTTGTGCTCAATCGATAGAATAGAAGTAATACTAGTGACATCGCTAAGAATTTGGTCGACTGGAATAATGTAATTGGCCTTAAATGGGAGTCGAAATCGGCAAAATCGCCGATTCGTAAATATCGCTGACACATCAAAATTCACGAGAGCATAATTTCGTCAATTTTCCATCAAATTTCATACTTTTTGTTTTATTACCTTCACAAAAAGATTCTCTACCATTTCATAAGAAAAAATAACAAATTTTTTTTTGGAAAATTCTTGGAGACTGGGCACCACTTCAGATTTTGGCCTTGGACCCTGAAGGGGTTAAAGTGCAGGCATTGTACTTCCCATTTCCAGAACTCAAGTCCTACTATATGAAAATAACCGGTTTCCCTGAATCCCTTCACTAAATATTACCCTACTCACACTCCAACAGATCGTCAGGTCCCAAGTACCATTCGTCTCCATTCACTCCTATCTAACACGCTAAATGCACGCTTGCGGGAAGTCCAAGCCCCTTGCCCACAAAACCTCCTTTACCCCCTCTCTCCAACCCTTTCGAGGACGACCCCTACCCCGCCTTCCTACCCCTATAGATTTATAGCTTTCCATGTCATTCCTACTTTGATCCATTCTCTCTAAATACCAAACCACCTCAACAACCCCTCTTCTGCCCTCTGACTAATACTTTTATTAACCCACACCTTTTCCTAATTTCCACACTTCCGAATTTTCTGCATAATATTTACACCGCACATTGCCCTTAAACAGGACATTCCTCTGCCTCCAACCGTCTCCTCGCTGCTGCATTTACCACCCAAGCTTCACACCCATATAAAGTTTTTGGTACTACTATACTTTCATACATTCCCTTCTTTGCCTCCATAATAACGTTTTTGACTCCACATATACCTCAACGCACCACTCACCTTTTTCCCTCATCAATTCTATGATTAACCTCATCCTTCGTAAATCCATCCGCCGACACGTCAACTCCAAGTATCTGAAAACATTCACTTCTTCCATACTCCTCCTCCCCAATTTGATATCCAATTTTTCTTTATCTAAATCATTTGACACTCTCATCACCTTACTCTTTCTATGTTCACTTTCAACTTTCTACCCTTTTCACACATTCCCAAACTCATCCACTAACCTTGCAAAATTTTTTTTTAGAATCTCCCATAAGCACAGTACATCAGCAAAAAGTAACTGTGTCAATTCCCATTTTGAATTTGATTCCCCAAAATTTAATCCCACCCCCCTCCCGAACACCCTAGCATTTTTCTTCCTTTACAACCCCATCTATAAATATATTAAACAACCATGGTGACATTACACATCCCTGTCTAAGACCCACTTTTACCGGAAGTAGTCTCCCTCTCTTCTACACACCCTAACCTGAGTCTCACTATCCTCATAAAAACTCTTTACAGCATTAATAACTTACCACCTATTCCATATACTTGCAACATCTGCCACATTGCTCCTCTATCCACTCTATCATATGCCTTTTCTAAATCCATAAATGCAATAAAAACTTCCCTACTTTATCAAATACTGTTCACATATATGCCTTCAATGTAAACACTTGATCTACACATCCCCTACCCCTCTGAAAACCCCCTTGCTCATCCCGCAATCTACATTCTGTCTTACCTCTAATTCTTTCAATTTAACCCTACCCTACACTTTTCCTGGGATACTCAGTGAACTTATTCCTCTATAATTTTTTACAGTCTCTTTGTCCCCTTTTCCCTTTATATAAAGGGACTATACATGCTCCCCTGCCAATCCCTAGGTACCTTCCCCCCTTTTTCATACATTTATTAAACAAAAGTACCAACCATTCCAACACTATATCCCCCCTGCTTTTAACATTTCTGTCATGATCCCATCATTCCAGCTGCTTTACCCCCTTTCATTCTACGTAATGCCTCGTGTACCTCCCCCACACTTACATTCTGCTCTTCTTCACTCCTAAAAGATGGTATACCTCCCTGACCATTGCATGAAATTACTGCCTCTCTTTCTTCCTTAACATTTAAAAGTTCCTCAAAATATTCTCGCCATTTACCTAATACCTCCATCTCCCCATCTACTAATTCCCCTACTTTTTTTTTTAACTGACAAATCCATACTTTCCCTAGGCTTTCTTAACTTGTTTAACTCACTCCAAAATTTTTTCTTATTTTCATTAAAATTTTTTGACAGTGCCTCTCCCACTCTATCATCTCCTCTCATTTTGCACTCTCTCACCACTCTCTTCACCTTTCTTTTACTCTCCATATACTCTGCTCTTCTTATAACACTTCTGCTTTGTAAAAACCTCTCATAAGCTACCTTTTTCTCTTTTATCACACCCTTTACTTTAATTATCAGAGTATATATGAAATAATTTTTAAAAACACTTGAAATTTTGGAGTTTCCAGACACAATGAAGAGATGCAGTGCTTACAGAGCTCACGGAAAATGTAAACAAACTGGGTGGAGCACGATGACCGTATTAGAAAGTCAGGTGGGGGAAGCCGTATAGAGAGTTTTGGTCATAATTTGAAATGACCGTATTAGCGGAATGCCGTAAAGCGAAATGCTGTTAAGCAGGGCCCTACTGTAAATGCAAGTTGTTCAAGGCCAGCAATTAACTGATCTCACATTTTCACCATATCGTCTATGGGGACTTAGTTTCTGTAAATCATAAACAGTGGTAGTTCCAACACCATATTCTTCAGTAAGACGCCGAGACTGTTCAACTGCCTCCCAGCACACATAAGGGGGATTACCAACAGACCCCTGGCAGTCTTCAAGCTGGCACTGGACAAGCACCTAAAGTCAGTTCCTGATCAGCCGGGCTGTGGCTCGTACGTTGGTTTGCGTGCAGCCAGCAGCAACAGCCTGGTTGATCAGGCGCTGATCCACCAGGAGGCCTGGTCACAGACCGGGCCGCGGGGGCGTTGACCCCCGAAACTCTCTCCAGGTAAACTCCAGGTAAACAGATACACCACGATCAAGCTTCTGCAGTAACTCTACTTTGTGTTATTGATAACGTCTGATGCTTCCTTTTCTTTTTCTCACTGTTACCCATAGGGGTATCTGCAGCTCTTTTTGACATTTTCACAGTGAAATTAAACAGTCGTAAAATAAAAAGCAAAAACAAAATATCAGCGAACAGCAGACGCAAGTGTGAATGCTACGAGTGCTGAGACACGACTGATGCCTGCCACTCTAGCTGTCAGTGCTGGGTCATGCCACCGCGTGGTGGCGTTGGTGTTATGTACAGATGGCTGATGCTCCACACTCCACGAAAAAACTTTGGTTTTCGGAACTTTTCGAACTACGGAATTTTGCATAAAAGTATGTGGACCTGTACTTAAATTCTTAAAATTTAAAAATGTTATTTTCATTGCAGTCCAGCACCAACAGTAATAGGCCAAGAAGCACAACCTGCAGGAGCAGTGGGGGGAGCAATCAAGGCAACTGCTATTGTAGGAGCCTCCTCAGATTCTAATGTGTTAGAGAAGACTGCTCAAGAAAATCTCAAGGTTGTTACTGGACAACCTACCACAAATATTCAGGTATGGTATATCACTCTTTCATGTGATGTTCCCTCTGTGATCTATCCTTCTTATAGAAGGTGGCCTGGTTAGAGTTTCAACTCTGTTCTTTACTGCATTTCTCAAGGTGTATTCCAAATATGTGTTGAAAAACTACCTGTTGGTCAACACTCCCATAAGTGAAATGTATGTCAATTGTTTTTTAATCAAAAAAAAAAACAAAGTAGAGAGGTTTGAGGATTATGATTAAACATTTAAAATTAGAAGCATACAATAAAAGTGGAAAGAAAAGACAAGAACAAAGGGTAGGAGGGAAGGAATACTTAAAAAAGTGATAGTTGAAATTATTGGCAGTTTGGTATAGTATAGCCTAAAAGAAACAATGCCCTTTTTTATGTTCCCAATTTCGTGCTTGGATAGACATTGGAAACTTGCAAGAGAAAATGCTTAGGAGTGGGGGATTTAGCAAACAGGAATTGTACCAGATAATTCAAGTGTGAAGGTAAAGGTGAACATGATAATTGCAGTTTAATATAGACAAATGCAAAGTTCTAAATGTTGGACAGGAAAATAACCATGCTACATATAAACTAAATGTAGATCATAATACTACTGATTGTGAAAAGGATTTAGGAGTTCTGGTGAGCAGTAATTTAAAACCAAGACAACAGTGCATTAGTGTTCTCAGTAAAGCTAACAGAATCCTTGTCTTCATATCTAGAAGTATAAATAATAGTCCTCAGGTTGTTCTTCAACTATATATATCCTTGGTTAGGCCTCATTTAGATTATGCTGCACAGTTCTGGTCACAGTATTACAGAATGGATATAAGTGCAGTGGAAAATGTACAGAGGAGGATGACAAAGTTGATCCCATGTATCATAAATCTTCCCTGAGGATAGACTGAGGGCCCTGAATCTGCACTCTCTCGAAAGGCGTAGAATTAGGGGGATATGATCGAGGTGTATAAATGGAAAACAGGAATAAATAAAGGGGATGTAAATAGCATGCTGAAAATTTCCAACCAAGATAGGACTTGCAGCAGTGGTTTCAAGTTGGAAAAATTCAGATTCAGGAAGGATATTGGAAAGCACTGGTTTGGTAACAGAATTGTGGACGAGTGGAACAAACTCCCGAGTACAGTTATAGAGGCTAAAACGTTGTGTAGTTTTAAAGATAGGTTAGATAAATACACGAGTGGGTGTGGGTGGGTGAGTTGGACCTGATTAGCTTGTGCTACTAGGTCTGATGCCGTGCTCATGCCATAAGTGGAAGTGACCTGACTAGGTGGGTCATTGGACTAAGCTGAAGGGTGATGGACCTGCTTTGCATGGGTTAGTAAGTAAGTTTATTCAGGTATACACAAATACAGTGTTCCTTCTTTCTTATGTTCTTATGAACTAGAGGCATTGGCCTTTTACATGGGGCCCCTTTTTACATAATTTGCTGTGACTCGGTCTGAACTGGAATGCAGTGTTCACATACCTTTAACTAAGACTAATGAACTTGGAATTGTATTAACAGTAAACAATATTGTGATTATGACTCTTGTAATATGACAGTAAATTTAGTCATAATAGCAACAAATTGGTATTGAGAGTAAAGTATTTTTTAACTAGCTAAAAATTGGTAATAGTCAGTTTGTTAGCATTTTTTTTTAAAGCATCGAATAACCTGACAGTTTTAATTCTCTGTAAATTCTACAGCACAGGTACACACCATACAGGCAAATTTGTTGGTTTGGGTAACTGAGCATACTCATGGTCTTATATAACCAAATATGAGAGGTGGTTTTTGTTTTCATACTACAAACTGTTACTTGACAGGAGAAGCTGTCACACCAGGTTGTCTTGAAATGCTATTATTATAGGCAAACTTCTTTTAGGAAAAAAAAAATTGAGTTTAGTGCTTAGTGTGATTCTGTTATTCCTATTGTTTGTTTAGGAAAACAATACTTACAAAGTTAGAAAACAGTAAATCTTTAAAAAAGGTGCATTTCTGTGATCATTTTATCAGACTGGTTTAGTGCTTAGTTTATATCATTATCATCATCATAATATTTTAAAGGAATAGACAAGCCTTGAACTCATAATGTTAAATTCACTAGTCTCTTGCATTGATAAGTCTTGGCTTTCTAAGTTATATTAATACATGATACTTTCAGTCACTTTCTCTCCTTCCCTTTATACATATTTTAGTGATGTTATACAGGTGGGCCCTACTTTACAGTGTTTTGCTGATGCATTGGTTTTCAGTTATACCCATTCTTCATTTATTCAGACTTCCTACAGTAAATATATGCACCACTCACTAAAAGCTAAGGATGAAAATATTTTAAGGTCACACTACACATACATGTACACGTTTATTTATACACGCTCATCTGAGTTTTCTTTGATTTTATCTTAATAGTTCTTGTTCTTATTATTTTTCCTTTTATATTCATGGGGAAGTGGGATAAGAATCTTTCCTTTCTAAGCCATGCATGTTGTAAAAGTCAACTAAAATGCCAGGAACAATGGGCTAGTAACCCCTTTTCCTGTAATAATTACTAAAAAGAATAAGAAGAAAATTGCCAAAGTGGGAAGCCTGAATGTGCATGGATGTTATGCGAATGATAAGAAAGAGATGATTGTGGATGTTACAAATGAGAAGAAGCTTGATGTTCTGGCTTTAAGTGAAACAAAGCTGAAGGGGGTGGGAGAGTTTCAGTGGAGAGGAATAAATGGGATTAGGTCAGGGGTTTCAAATAGTTACAGCTAAAGGAGTAGTAGCAATAATGTTGAAGGATAAGCTATGGCAGGAAAAGAGGGACTATAAATGTATTAATTAAAGGATTATGTGGAGTAAAATAAAGGTTGGATGTGAAAAGTGGTTTTGGTTATAGTAAGCATATATGCACCTGGAGAAGAGAGAAGTGTAGAGGAGAGAGAGAGATTTTGGGAAATGTTGAGTGAATGCATGGGGAGTTTTGAACCAAGTGTGAGAGTACTTGTGGTTGGGGATTTCAATGCTAAAGTGGGTAAAAATGTGGAGGGAGTAACAGGTAAAATTGGGGTGCCAGGGGCAAATGAAAATGGGGAGCCTTTAATTGAGCTATGTGTAGAAAGAAGTTGGGTAATAAGTAATACATATATTATGAAAAAGAGAATAAATAAATATACAAGGTATGATATAGCACACAATGAAAGTAGTTTGTTAGATTATGTATTGGTGGATAAAAGGTTGATGGGTAGGCTTCAGGATGTACACGTTTATAGAGGGGCAACTGATATATCAGATCATTATTTAGTTGTAGCTACAGTTAGAGTAAGAGGTAGATGGGACAAGAGGAAAATGGCAACAAGTAGGAGAGAGGTGAAAGTGTATAAACTAAGGGGAGGAAGTTCGGGTGAGATATAAACAACTATTGGCAGAAAGGTGGGCTGGTGCAAGTATGAGTAGTGGGGGGGGATGGTTGAAGAGGGTTGGAATAGTTTTAAAAATGCAGTATTAGAATGTGGGGCAGAAGTTTGTGTTATAGGGGTGGTTGCAGGAGGAAAGAAGAGTGGAATGATGAAGTAAAGGGTATGATAAAAGAGAGAAAGGTAGCTTATGAGAGGTTTTTACAAAGCAGAAGTGTTATAAGAAGAGTAGCGTATATGGAGAGTAAAAGAAAGGTGAAGAGAGTGGTGAGAGAGTGCAAAAGGAGAGCAGATGATAGAGTGGGAGAGGCACTGTCAAGAAATTTTAATGAAAATAAGAAAAAATTTTGGAGTGAGTTAATCAAGTTAAGAAAGCTTAGGGAATGAATGGATTTGTCAGTTAAAAACAGAGTAGGAGAGTTAGTAGATGGGGAGATGGAGGTATTGGGTAGATGGCGAGAATATTTTGAGGAACTTTTAAATGTCGATGAAGAAAGGGAGGCGGTAATTTCATGCACTGGCCAGGGAGGTATACCATCTTTTAGGAGTGAAGAAGGGCAGGATGCGAGTGTGGGGGAGGTGCGTGAGGCATTATGTAGAATGAAAGGGGGTAAAGCAGCTTGAACTGACGGGATCATGACAGAAATTTTAAAAGCAGGGGGGATATAGTGTTGGAGTGGTTGGTAATTTTTGTTTAATAAATGTATGAAAGAGGGATGGTACCTAGGGATTGGCAGAGAGCATGTATAGTCCCTTTATATAAAGGGAAGGGGGACAAAAGAGATTGTAAAAATTATAGAGGAATAAGTTTACTGAGTATACCAGAAAAGTGTATGGTAGGGTTATTATTGAAAGAATTAGAGGTAAGACAGAATGTAGGATTGCAGATTGGGGATGTGTAGATCAAGTGTTTACATTGAAGCATATATGTGAATAGTATTTAGATAAAGGTAGGGAAGTTTTTATTGCATTTATGGATTTAGAATAGGCATATGATAGAGTGGATAGGGGAGCAATGTGGCAGATGTTGCAAGTATAAGGAATAGGTGGTAAGTTACTAAATGCTGTAAAGAGTTTTTATGAGGATAGTGAGACTCAGGTTAGGGTGTGTGAGAAGAGAGGGAGACTACTTCCCAGTAAAAGTAGGTCTTAGACAGGGATGTGTAATGTCACCATGGTTGTTTAATATATTTATAGATGGGATTGTAAAAGAAGTAAATGCTAGGGTGTTCGGGAGAGGGGTGGGATTAAATTATGGGGAATCAAATACAAAATGGGAATTGACACAGCTACTTTTTGCTGATGATACTGTGCTTATGGGAGATTCTAAAGAAAAATTGCAAAGGTTAGTGGATGAGTTTAGGAGTGTGTGTAAAGGTAGAAAGTTGAAAGTGAACATAGAAAAGAGTAAGGTGATGAGGGTATCGAATGATTTAAGTAAAGAAAAATTGGATATCAAATTGGGGAGGAGGAGTATGGAAGAAGTGAATGTTTTCAGATATTTGGGAGTTGACATGTCAGCGGATAGATTTATGAAGGATGTGGTTAATCATAGAATTGATGAAGGAAAAAAGGTGAGTGGTGCATTGAGGTTTATGTGGAGACAAAAAACATTAT